CAAGTAAATGATAAACTGGGCTACCCAGTGCCAGAATTTCAGAGCAGCCAAGTCATTAAAAATGGTTGCCTATCTGATAAAGTAGAGAAACAAATACATTTTTTTATTCTTTCCCTATGAAGCACCAGCTCATACGCCACTGTGGGAAACTCCTACAATTTTCTACCTACCACAATGGTACAACATTGATAATGCAATAGAAAATAAACCTTAACTTGTCTTTTAACAAAAACAATGTAGAGAACAATCTAAGTTGATCTAATGAAGCAGTGGTTCCCAGTCCTGCGTAACCCAGGTGTTCTTGGACTGCGATTCCCCAGAAGTCTTCACCACCAGCTGTGCTGGCCAGGGTTTCAAGAAGTTGCAATTCAAGAACACCTGGGTTACCCAAGGTTAGGAACAATAAAGGGAGGATACTGAACTTTGACAAGAATCCTGTTGCCTTATATCATACCTACAATGACTCACTACCCATGCAGGAGGGCTTTTCTGATCATGGTATCTCCCCTGCCAGGTAAGTATAGGAGGGCTTTTCTGAAGAATATGCAGTTATGATAGCATTGCTAACACTACCTATCTCTATTCAGCAAAATTTATCTTTGTATCAGTGCAAGACTGCTATAGAACCATTGCATTTAAATGTATTCAATATTAGCCAATCTATCCAATACTCTTGAGAGTCCCCTGGACTGCAAGGAGAACAAACCTAGCCATTCTAAAGAAAATCAAGCCTGAGTGCTCACTGGAAGGACAGATCCTGAAGCTGAGGCTCCAATACTTGGCCATCTCATGAGAAGAGAAGACTCCTTGGAAAAGACCTTGATGTTGGGAAGGTGTGAAGGCAAGAGGAGAAGGGGACGACAAAGGATGAGAAGGTTGGACAGTGTCATCGAAGCTACCAGAATGAATTTGACCCAGCTCCGGGAGGCAGTGGAAGACAGTAGAGCCTGGCGTGCTCTGGTCCATGGGGTCACGAAGAGTCGGACACAACTTAACGACTAAACAACAATCCAATACTGCCAAGTGCAAGTCTCAGAGATTATGGCAAGCCAAAGATCATGGGAGCTCTACAGACACACTTCACTCACAATGAGCAGGATTCTGGCCTTTGTTTAGTGATCAGCATAGTTGCCTCTATTTTCCACAATGCCTTATTTTTATGGACATTATCACTCTGAAAAGCTTCCTAGAAGTGCTAAGTAAGTTATCCACTTCTCATGTTCCCAACTTGGGAGACTAACTGCATCCCCCAGCTTGAGTAGTGGGTGTTTGGGGAGAGGTCTCAAACCCACAATAGATGCATGTAGCCCACATGATGCTCCCGTTACAGACTGCACAACCCTGGAATTCACGGCATAAATCTACATGGTACAAAAACCTCCATATTTGCACCACAGTAAACATAATCTCTGTTATTATAATAGAAACTCTTTATGGGAAGGAAGATGGTGACATACAAGCTGAGGGTAAGTCCTAGTTATGGCTTATTGTTATGTGTGTATCAGGTCAGTTTTGATACAGAATACAGTATCTTGAATAGCTATTCTCTTGATATGGGCAAAAAAAAATTAGGAATACTGAGAACTCCTAAGATTTTTAATCTGTGCTAAAAACACCAATAAGTGAAATTCAGAGCAGGGAATTATATTAGGATTTTCTGCAGAAATATGGAAGTAGAACTTCTATATAAACTGACTCTAAATCAGTTTGCCTTCACATTTTCCTAACATTTACTTGGTTGGATGTGATTTATCATTGTACGGTTCTTTTTTAAGTGAAAGGATGAAGGGAGATGGGTTAAATAAATAGTATTTCATGTCTGCCTCACTTGTAACTTAAAATTTCAAAAGAATATTTGTGAGGAAAATATAAAAAGAGCAGGTACGGAAATAGTTTGTACACATGAATTCCTCTTCAAACATTACCTTCTAAGGAAAGTAAGATGAAAATTTACTTGTGCTTTCTATCTCACACCACCTGTATAAAATATCTGAGGCATTCCAAAATTTAACCCAGGTCAATTAGTTTCTGTGCAAACATGTTCAGAATTGGGAAATAAATTCATATCTCGATTCAGTGAATTCATCTCTTTGGTTCTTGGCATGATTACGGCAGAAATATTCTTCTTAAGTCTGAGCAATGTTAGCCAACATGTAGTGTGTGTGAGAGGGGGAGGAGCTAAATAGATGCTCAGCATACCTGTCTGAAGAAGGCATCAATCAATTGCTTCAACATCAATACTAAAGAAGAAACCATCTCTTTTAGCCCTAATTAACAAGTCAGTCAGAACCAGATGAAGTCAAAATCTTTAAGTGGCTAACAATCCTATATTCACAGTTGCACACAACTCATTTGCAGAACTGCAGAAAGTTCACATGGGGTGTCATTATTCAAAAGAATCATTACAACTCGATGTATAAAGAACAAAAGACCCACAATTCATTTCTTTTTTTTTTTTTAAAAAACAGCTCTTTGTCACAATAAAATTTTTTTAAAAAACAAGAGGCTTTCCAGATACTGAAGAGATAATTTCATGCTGGTGGGAGAACAGTATTAGATAAAATCCACTGAGATTAAAATATAAATATATAGATTACTAAATAAGCTGACATTTCAGTTTTCTCTCTTGCACAGACCTTTCAAATTACTTGCTCTCACCTAGGGAATACCATAATCATTTCACACTTACTTTATCTTTGGCATACTTCAGCTGCCTTGTTTGTGGCTAACTTTGTTTACTGGACAGAAAACTGAACTTGAATCTGAGATATCTGGGTTTATAAACCTGTTACCACTGAACTGCTTAGGCATCAAGCTATCAGAGTAGTTCACCTGTACACCTACATCACTTGAGGATTCATTTCCTGACCTGGAGTGCTGTATGTGTGAAAACTCCCTTCAGTGAAGAGGATTTTGATTAAAGTGATTCAAAATTCCATCTGCAATATCTGATCTACTATTAGTCATTTATTTAGGGAAATCATAACTGTTCAGGATGCATGTATGTGCAGGTACATATCTCATCTCCACAACTGCTGAATTCATTTAACTGATATTTCTTTTATTGAATTTGTGAAAGGATGTTTTGAGATAAAAGTAATATGTCCAATGAGCCTTAAAAGAAAAGGCTGAATTTTAAATAAAAACAATTTAATTTTCGTTATTAAAAATATTTAGATTTTCACACAATCTATACACACAATATTCTGAAGGGCTCGCATTAGCAAGGTGAGAGTTTAACAGCACACTCCTACACATGTTTACTTAGAAGTAAAGGTCCACTACTCCCTGAGGCTCACCTCCAAGGAAAGGGTACCTTCAGTTACATTATAAATAATATAAAACAAATATTTCCAGATTAGAAACCAGATGTCAAATATCAGAATCACCCAGTTTATGGGGAGGATGAAATAACATTATATCCCAAGACCAAGAAAAAGAAAAGAAAAGAAAATTCCATTGAGAGTCAGATACAGAAATTCTCAAGTCACTTATTCCACAGCAATAAATTCAATAGAACTATTGCAAAAGTAAGTTGTTTCAGAACTGAAATCATGAACCTTTGTTTTTCAGTTACCTGGAAGCTGGTTTTGTTACAAACACATTCCAAAACAATATCTAGATGCCACCCTCCCCCCTTCAAACAGCAATCAGTAAATTTTTTTTTATCAAACTAGGCTTCCAAGATAGATGGATTAAAAACTGAACTCAATACAGAAATAAAAAGCATCACAGTTTGCTAGAAAGAGATCACCATTGTTACAAAAGATTACATTTTATCTGTTCTCATGTGGCCAAAGCCCAAACACTTTGCAGATACACTGGATCCAATCTTAAAATCATACATGAAAAATTAAAGATTTCCAATATCAGTGGAGAATGTAACTAATATGAATTAGAGCTATGTTAATCTATGTTAAGAACTCAATAAATTCTCCCTTCTGAGCACACAGAATATATGTTGCAAAAAATTCAGTACAATTCAAATGCTAATTTCTGTTGTTTAGACTTTAGGTATACAAGAGAAAGCTCAAAAGCTTATCAAATCTATTTTTGTGTGTATCAGTTCAACATGATTTGCCAGTTTTCTACTAACCACAATAACATTTTAGAGTTAATTTGTGGTTTTAAGTACTCAGTCTTAAGTTTGATACACACACTATGCATACAAACACGCACATATTTGCATACATATGTATGCATGACAATGGCCACCTCGTGCTGCTGTGCTTCTCTTAAGCAAAGAGTGGCCTTGTTCTCTTCAGAATAGAGTTTCCAGGGGAAAGGACAGAAACTGCAAATGATACTTTGAAGTACTATGCTGCACTATACATGCTATTCTCATTTCGGGGTTACAGTGAGGCAAAATAATTACAATCTTAATACTTCGTGGTTTTAAATGGCCATGAACATCACTTTAAAAAAAAACCCAGCTACAGTACGCATCTCACTGAAGTGTTCTTTTTAACAAGCACATTAATAATTTTCAAAGCAAAGAAAGTTCTCAGCATAATATTGTGTTGTGTTTAACAGGCCTTACTCTCGGTTAAGAATGCAGGGAATTACACAGCTCTCAAGTGCCTTGTTTCCCCTCCCCCCCCACTATCACTTCTGTATAGAATCTACCGGATGATGAACAAGTGAACAATGAAAGATAATGAAATCTTATGCCATGTATTAAAAGAGCACAGAAACAAAAGGAAGTGTGCCTAGTATAAACCTGCTAAGAAGACACGGTGTCCCCCCCCCCAGTACGGCCAGTCAGCCCTCTGATACAGAGTGGCAAACGCAATCCCTCTATGAAGCTGTTTGTTTGGGGGGTTTTTTTTGTTTTGTTTTGTTTTGAACATCTCAGGCAGCACAAGGACCTACGGGAAGTATGGAGATGCGAGGTTTCCTTAGGTAACACGGAGCCCCAGGGCGCTAAACAGAACTGGGAAAGGGGGAGTTCAGGGAACAGGGGTGAGACCGGGGACTAAAACAACAAAAAACGTGCTTACTTGGTGTACAAAGACATCAACCGGAGACTCCAAGGGGCTTCCCTCGCGGTTGATCATGGAAATAAATCCGAACCCCATTCGCACATTAAACCACTTGCAATGGCCTGTTCCATGCAAAACCTGGGATTCCTCCTCTTCCTCCTCCTCCTCCTCCTCTTCTTCTTCTTGTTCCGGCAATTTCCCGGGCTCATCTCCACCTTTACGCGCCCCCGCTGATTCCGAGTGGGATGGCGGAGAAGAAGAAGAAAAAGAACGGACGTACATGCACACGGACATACACACACACAAAGGAAGAGAATTACATTTTAGTAACATCCCCTTTGGCGGTTGTACAAGAACGATTGCTACAGAGAACAGAAAACACATGCACGCACGTACAAATATTACGAAATCAACCTCTTCTCCCCCCACTTTCCTACGCTCGAAAACATTAAACACACCAACAGCGTGTAGGGAGGAAACACAATGGCATTTTTTCTTTCTTTCAAAAGCAACGCTTAAGGGCACCGTCGAGGGAAAGGCAGCATCTGCTGTGACTCACTCAGCCTGCTTTTTTTTTGCCTCTCTCTCCACACACCACACACATATTGCAGCTCAGCCCACGTTGTGCTGTACATACGTGTGATTCTGCCCTTTAACTCCATCTTTCAGCCACATAAACCACCCCAGAAAGCGATACTTTACTTGGGTACTGCTGGTTGAGCACCGATCCCATCCCTCCCTAGAGGAATTCGCAGGCGAATGAGTCTTGGCCGGCCAGGAGAGGGAGGGAGGAAGAGGGAGGAGGGGGGCGACCGAGCCGGGAGAGAGAGAGAGAGAGAGAGGGAGGGAGGGAGGAAAGGCGATTGCGCAACCACTTGGAACGGCCCATAAAGCAGCCGCGGCAAGAGCCGCGTATTATTTTCAAACTGCGCTCATCCTCTCTTCTTCCTCCAGCCAATCCCACCTCCCTTTCCTCTGCGCAGGAACCGCTCCGAGAGAGAGGCGAGTAGAAAAAAGGGGGGCAGGTGTACTCAAAGTTTGCTCACTCGCCCGCCACCCCCGCCCTTCCACAACTGCTTGCTCAATCGCACGGGAACAATCCGAACAAAAGCCCCCCTCGGAAAGCTTTTCAAGTTGGGTGAATCGGAGTGGGCGGTGCGGAGCACTTGGGGAGTTTTCGCCCACGGTAATGTGTTGTCCCCCAACACACACTTTCCCCACGCAACTCTCCGCCGGAACAACCAACTTGTATTAATTTCCCCCCCCCCTTAAAATTAGAAAAAAAGGGGAGGGGGAAAGGAAAGTGCCTTTTTTTTTAAATGGCAGCCCAAGAAAAGCAATGGGGGGGGGGCTTTCGGCCATGTTGCCCTACACGCCCTCTTTTCCCCAAGACGAAAAGTTCCCCCTTGCGGGCGAGGAGCAATCGTTTGAATCGGCTTAACATCTTGATTTTGAACGATCCCGTTTCGCTCGCATGGTCTAATGGGCTTTCCCTCATCTGAGTCCTCCTCCTCCTTCCCCCCTCTTCGCCCCCCCTCCACCTCTTCTGCCCCGGCTCGGTTTCTGGGCCCCTGCACACACGTGACTCGGTCAATTACATGCCTTCTTGCGACTAATTTCACCTCGGGTCCTCGGATGGGGTTTGGCAAGAGTAAGGAGTAACCAATCGGCATTTCAAGCTGGTTTGACACGCCGGAATAATTTATGAATGAACAACGAAATTTCAAAACACGCTCGCCTCGCCGCGAGCTGGCACGTTTCTCTACGTAGATCCGGAGGGCGCCTGGAAGGATGGGAGGGAGCCTTTGTCGGAACCCAGGAAGGAACATTCGCACATGCATTAATAGCTTTGTCTACACAGCCGATGATTTCCGTGGCCCCCGCGCTATGGACCCAGCAATGGCTGAATGTGACGCCGGTGTAGCTCGTGGAGACAGCGGCATCCCGCAAAGGCACTGAAAAGCCTCATCTCTGCGGCTCATGCGCAAACTAGTAAACAAGAGTACCTAAACTGAAACCGGTTCAAGGGAAAGGCGATCCTAAACACACTTGCAATCGTTTCTTGCATTTAGTTAGGACTTCCTTGAAGATTATGCTTAGGGTCCTAGCATCTGAATGCTATCCATATAGTTTTGAAACCCGCGAATTGGGGGAGGGGAGGGGAGAGTCTCAGTCTTTCCTATGCACACTTATATGGGAGTAAACTCCACGGAGCAAACGCTAACTTACATCAGATCCGGCTGTCAGAAGTTTACAGTTAAGAAACATACCCAACTGAATTTAACGGAGTCCCCTCCCGCGCAAGCATGCACAGAATAGCAGAGCTGCACAGAAGTGTCATTAAAATCAAAACGTGATAAGAGGGGCCAGGAGCGATAAATGTAAATTCTAGTAGTGCCTTATCCAATCAAGGTAGGCGATGCACAGCCAATTTTTAAAAAAAGGTACATATTGATAATGTTTGGGTGGGGCGTATATCACCCAGAGTGTTCCCGTTAATATCAAGCTCATTTTGAGCCCACTGCAACGGTACGGACCACGTGAACTTAAAAAGTCCACTTCTTCTTAGCAATCAGAAACTTCCGCAAAGTTAAACAAATGTTAACCTATCAGTCATGTGCGCTGCAGATAAATACTGTTATTAAACGTGTGATACGCAAGCATGGTGCCTTGATCTACGATGCAAGCTATCGGGGGAGTGGGTGGGGGGGAAGCGTTCATTTCTTTTTAGTTACGAAACGCCTCCCAGAAACACCGTGGCACCTTAGTTCGGTTCCGAAGGGAAGGCGGTCCATTGTTTCAAAGGATTCAGGCAAAAGTGTGTGTGTGCGTGTGCGTGCGCGGGGGGGTGAGAGCAGGGATTGCGCCTCACGGGTTTCCCCAGCCATCTCGTAACGGGGAGGGGATGTGATTAATTACTTCCTAAATAAGAGAGCAGTTGGCAAGCCTAGCATTACAGTGAACCTCGCTCAGCAACGATTGTTCTCCAGGAGGCGGGAGGACGGTGGAAGAGAGGGAAAAACAGTATTTGTCAGGGAAGAGGAAGCAAGAGCGGGTGGGAGTAGATAGGGAAGAAGAACGTGTGTGGGAGGAGGAAAGCAAAAGGAAAAGACACAAACTGGCCCGGCAAAATGCAGTTTAAACTCCCGGGCGCACGCGCGTGGAAGCTCAACTATATTAAGTCTTCTGCCCTGTAGTATTATTATAGTATACCCACGTATGTCTCTCTCCCCCCTCCCCGCAGAACTCAGTGGAATTACTTCTGAGTAGACATACCTCCGGGAGGCAGTGGAAGACAGGAGGGGCTGGCGTGCTCTGGTCCATGGGGTCACGAAGAGTCGGACACGACTTAACGACTAAACAACAACAAAGACATACCTTGCTCGGTAAGACACTCTGCCTCACTCCCCACCCCATTATTATTTTTAAAATACGCCCCGATGTAGTTCCAAATTAATCCACTTTCAAAGGGCTGCTTAGAAAGAAGGGCGGACCGCGTCGCTACAATCTAAAGTACACCCGCTCCAAGAAACCTTAGGCATATTCACTCAGAAATAAGTCGACTTATTCCCGAAAGTTATATGATTGCATCCAAAGTAAGAGGACTGATATTCCGCGCGTGTTTTCTTTTAGGGAAACACGTAATATTTTAAATATTTAAGGACTCTTCTATCCCCCGCTCTATGCCCTATGTTGTCCTGGTTTAAGCATTTTGCTTATAAGTCCCATTTGTTTACTCTGAATTTCCACTCGAGAAAAGTGCGTTCGAGATTGCCCTCCGAAAGCCGTTATTGTATTTATGTATTCATTCCGGGCGATGTACATGGCGATAGCAAGTCGGAACTTTGCTCCTTAGGCGGCACTCGTAGATCCAGTGTTACTGAATTCAGTGGGACTTTACGCCGGAATAGGTACGCCCAGGACTGCCCTGTCAGCCAACGGCAGCCATCTATCTCCTATTTCTTTCTTCTATCAGAGCAAACTGAAGGCTGGCCGCCTGCGGCTTGACAGGTTTCCTAGTTGTATTTTCTCTTCCTCGAACCCTAACCCTTCGCGCTCACCCGTCGGCTGATTTCCCCTCAATACCCTTTTAGGAAATTGCAAGGTTGGCCGCTGCTGTTTTAGAACTGGCGACAGGCAGTCTGAACAAACAGGGGAAAAGGCCCTCCGCATTACATAAAGGGGCCTATTTACTCCTCTCCCCTCGGTATTTTCCAGGGAGAAAAAAAAGTTGTCAGTCTCTCTCCTGTTGGGTTATTTTATTTTCCTCAAGATAACAAGGTGCTCATCTTTTAGCTTACCTCCCGTGAGGGAGGTAACTTAACATAACTAAAATTTTGATTTATTTTTTAAAAAAATCAAAATACGATTGAGATGGTTAAAGGCGGCAGCCACCCTAAATCATGAGATGGCTTTGCCGCCTCCGACCCTAAATTTTCCTATGAATGATTCCAGGACTGGAAGGCGTCTTGCTTTCCCCTTTCGAGTCGCGCCTGCGTTTCCTATCGCCCCGCCTCCCGGCCAGCCTTCTTCCTTTTCGGTGGATGCCCCTGCCCACCAAAGGGCACGCGCCATCCCCCTCACCCACCCATTCAGTCACGTGGGGGATCCTCTTCAGTCACAGCGTTTAATACAACGCTAATAGGGCATGCCGTCTGGTCTCTATTCACACTTACTGTAAAGTCCAGTCAGTTTTGGTAGTTCTAACCTCCAAAATAAGTATAAAGAGGGCTATACAGTTCTGAGCTGAGTTATATTTTTGCCATATCACTATACAGAGGGACACATCCATAACCAAAAAGATAAAGTGATTTAAAGGAAGGGTCTTGAAGTGCTGGAAAACAGGAGAAAACGGTGTATGGGAGAGTAAAAAAGATGATTAGATTTTTATACCTGTTAAAAACAATGGAACCAGAAAATCTGACACATACATCTTATGGCAGATGCAGCATGGTGAAGTTGAAAGGAAAAACATCCACACTTCCACTTGCTAGTGGAATCTATACATCAAAGTGCCCAACTAGAGCACTAGAGATGAGCAAATTTTGCAGGGTTTGGTTAGTCAGGAGGTGGCTGGATAGCTCAGTGAGTTAAGTGTCTGGCTGTAGAGCCAGAGGTTGGGAGTTCAATTTCCCACTGTGCATCAGCCAACTTGTATGGCCTTAGACAAGCTGCAAAGCCCCAGGGTGCCTCCAGAAGAAGGGAATGGTAAATCACTTCTGAGTACTGTATTATCCAATAAGGGTGGCCAAAAATCAAACTGACACCATGGCACGCAATTATTATCATGTTAGGCTAGACTATAAGTGTCTACAATGATTGTATGCCACTGGTGAAGGGGACCCAAGACCACCAGAATATATGCACCCTGCTTTTTGCTGTAAGAGACCAATGCACTCAACCTTGTGGTATGGTGAATATCTGTTGATCTAAGAATTCCCCAAGCACCCAAGATACTCTCCAGTGAGTGCCTCATTTTCCAAAATTTTTAAGATGTACATGAAGGCAAAATATTCCAGCACATGTTATATTCTATGAGCTGTGTAGAAGGCTGTGTCTTCCATGATGTCCCCCGCGCCCAACCTCAAAATGCTAAACACAGTGACAGGGAAATAAATGAATAGAACAATACCTATGTATAGGATTGTCATATCGATGTCTGTATGCGTTTAGACTGAAAATACAATGCCTCCAGTTCAAAAGGTAGATCAGCCATGAAGAACTAACCATCCTACATTCCTGTATCCTTAGGATGTGCTAATAAAATATTCCACACAGGTATCAAAGATACTAAAGAATTGTAATTTGATAGAGAAATTCAGTTTTTTTCCCCCCAGCAAGATCTGTGTTGCTGTTCAGACTGTGTTGCATTCTTAAAATCTCGGAAAATGTTAACTGTGGGACAAGTTAGACGCAATTACGACGTTCATGGGAACAGGCAGGCGGCACTACACAAGAACAGTTGGTTTTCGAAACTACGGTGTGCGCTATGCCCAGTGGACTTCTAAAATTTGGAGGCCTCCAGTATTAGCGGAATTAAGGTTGGGGTCAAGGAACTGGTCGCTGGTGTCAGATGTTATCAGCTCATTCATTTCCTGCAGAGGAGATCAGCCTTTTAAGTTGCATGCAAGGTAGAGAGCCCTCGCCAGCTGGGAACTCTCGCAACCCTCGGAATCCATCTCATCCGCCTCAAAAAAACAGAGATAAAGCACACAACAAGC